GTTTTTTTATTTAATTATATGTCAATGAATTTTTATAAGAAATGGAATAATTTAAATTTTGTTGAAATAAAATAATTTGTTAGTATTGTCCTTTTTCTTATGAATTTATTTTCTCAAGCCAAAAAATAGAATTTTTCTTTAGCAATGTACTTTATTAATAAAACTAGAAGACAGTTGGAATAAATATTCAAAATAAGAATAAAAGGGACATCATTTTAATTAAAAACAAATCTTTATCCTATTAATACAATTCCTTTTTGGAAACTTTTTTATTCAGTATTTATTTATTAAAGAAATAAAATTATCAAAATTTAAAAAGAAAATTTTAAAGAATATATTTTTATTATTGTGATGTGAATGTATTAAGAAATTATAAGAATAATATAATTGTAATTTTATATGAAATTATATTTGAAAGTATAAGGATGAATGTCACAAAAAAAGTAAATTTTAATAAATCCTGAAGGATTAAATAAAAAATTAAAAGTATAAGCAACGTTGCACACACAATATTATTTTTGCAATCAAAATACTCAAAACCCTAATACAAGTTAAATAAATTTATTTATACTAGCTAATACATCCTAAAAAAAGTTGGAAAATAACAAAATAGTTCTAAGAAAATAAGAGAAAAATCATAAATCAATTAGAAAGATATTGCAATCTTGAACAATAAATTATGAGCTTTATCGCAAAGTCTTTTCATATTTGATCACCGTGAAATTTTAACCTTATAGAAAACAAGGTTTTTATAATTAAAATTTTAATTTAATCTAACAAATAGATTGAAAATTATACCCATTAATATAAAATTATACATTAAAAAAATAAGCTTTATTCATTTAAAAAGTTGAATACACAAATATTATAAGAAATAAGGCCTAAATAACTCAAATTATCTCATTAAATGATTCTTTAATTATCTTAGCTTTTGGTCACAATTGATATATAATGGGTCACAATTGATATATAATGTGATGTTACTCAATAATTCTTATTATTTTTTAAAAATGATTCGACCATCTTAGCTTTTGGTCACAATTGATATATCATGTGATGTTACTCAATAATTCTTATTATGTTTTTTATTTTTTAAAAATGATTCGATCTCGAACCATTATCTTAATTAGATAATAACTCATGTTTGAAAAATATATTTAAAAATTATAAAAAATATTAATAATAAACATCACACACTTCATTACTTGTTTGCATTCAAATATATATCATTTTACTTATGTTTCACTCTTAACTTGAGATTTCTTGAAATTATTCTCATATCCTCTTGTTTTTCACCATTCTTAACTCTTCTTTTTAGGTTTTTATTAAAGGCCAAGTGATTTTAACAAAATCAGTTTTAATCAATCTAATTTCATAATTTAATCTGTTTTTTCTTTTAATTTTTGTTTTTTATAAATTTTGGAATAACCTAAATAACAGAAAACTTTCCTTTCTTAAAAAAAAATAATTCAAACAATCAAGTTATATGAATAGTAAACTGTGAGCTTTATTTTAGGGTTTATAATGGTTTTCAATAAAACATGACTAATTAGGTTAACAATGGCTAAAACATGTGGGATTTTGAGCAACAATAATGGCTAAAACATGTGGGATTTTGAGCATTGTTGGTATTCAAACAAACACTGAATTTTTCAGGATTTCTCAAGCTATAGGATTAACATTTCAACAGTTAAATTTTTTCCAAGTTTTATTAAATCAAGTCAAAACAACCTATTCTGTAATTGATTAACAGTATTTAACAAAAACAAAACACACTAGCAGCACATTTCGATATCTCGATTTGAAAAACAGTTGTAACGTACCTGTTACAAAGCGCAGTGAGTTTCAAACGAGAAGAGAGCGAGATTCTAACAACGCAAGAGACAAATTGTTTCTTCTTCAACAACAAACATAGCAGGAAGGGAGAAATCAATTAAAAAGCCTAGATTGATTTCGATTCCATGTAGTAGTTAAGATTGTTTCTTCTTCAACAACATCGCAATGTAGTAGCTAAGATCTTCCTTGTACAACATCTTTTGGTTGCCTATTAAAGATCCGATTCTGTGTTGGTTCATGTTCCTGGGAAGAGGCGATGCTGCTCTCTGCAATCTGCATCAAATGGAAATGCAGATGTGAGAAACACTAGCGCTGATTTCATTTTGAGACTTCGTAAGTTGTGATCTGCCAAATTCTTGGATGAAAGAAATCATCCTGATGATGATGTGGAATGGCATTCTGCAAAGTAGGAAGGAAAACATCCCAAGCCATTTTGTCTTGCCGATCAAGAGGCCACAAACTCATAAAATACACTATTTTGAACATGTTTCATTATTTTTTAAAATATTTTTTATTAAAAAAATATATTAAAAAAATATTTTTATTATTTTTTAAAATTTATTTTGAATATCAATATGTTAAAATAATTAAAATATATATATAAAAATTAATTTTAAATAAAAAATATATAATTTGAACTTCAGCAAACTTTCATTTTAACCACACCCAATATAGTTGCATGGAATTTGAGTGTTGAATTTCTTATAAGAATAATTTTAGTGTGTTTAAAAATATAATAGTAATTTTTTAATTGTTTTTTTATTTTAAAAAAATTATTTTTAATTTTGTTACATCAAAATAATTTAAAAATATAAAAAAATATTAATTTAAAAAAATTAAATTTTTTAAAAGTAATTTCAAAACACAATATCAAACATATTTAATTTTAATAAGAATATGAGAGCGATTCAAATAGCTGAATAATTAATTATGAATAAATTAGTCACTAAAGTGGTTTGTCAACTTTAATTACAATGAAAACCAAAAAGATAAAACGTTTTTTATTCAAAAAAAAAAACGAGAAAAAGAAAAGAATATGACAACAGTGACGTGACTGGAAGTCTTGGAAATGGAATGCAAATCCGAACAAGGGCTAAAAAGGGCCACATCGTTCGTTCTGTCAATACAACGAGGATAATAACAAAACAATTAAATAAAAATATTTACAGCACTAAAATAATTAATTGCCCTTTTACAAATCCCAATAATTCTTTTAGTCCATTTGGAGATGTTGCACGGGTGAGTGTTCTAACACTTAAATTAGGTAAAAATTCATGATAAGCTGCAATTCCATATTATTTTTCCTGTAATATATATATATATATATAAACAATCATGATTACATGTGGGGAAAAAAATCTTTATTCAAGAGCAAAAAAATAATATTATTTAATTTTTAAATTAAACATAAAACAATAAAATAGGATAGAAGAAGGATAAAAAATTGGTATAAACAAATTCGAGTCAACATAATAAATATATAATTTCAACATTAAAAAGCGAGTTAGTTCAAATTAATATAATAAACCCGTATTCTAAATCATGAGATTAAGATAATTATATAAAATTAAAAAGTTATTTTTTAAAAAAATATCAAATACTAGTATTAGAATAAAAAAATAACACAAAACAATATCAATTTCTATTAATTTTTTAAACTTGTGATCCAAGTTATTAGAACAAAAATATTATATATAAAAAAATCATAAAATCAAATCCCTAAAAAATAAAACGTTAAAAGATAAAATAAAAAAAAAATTACATAAAAAATTCAAAATAAAAAATAATAATTAAATGAATAAGAGCTAAAATTGAAATAAAAATTAAATTAAAAAGTAACAACAAATTTTTAATTTAAGAGTGAAGTTGAAAAGAATAAAAAAATTAAAAAAAATAAGGATCAAAATAAAAAAAAAATTAAAAAAAATAAGGATCAAAAAAAAAAAAAAATACATTATAAACTTGGATTGAAAAGTAATATTAAAAATAATAAGATTTTTATAAAAAAATCAAGAAAACAAATCTAAAATCAAAAAAATAAGGATCAAATTGAAAATATTAATACCTGATAAAAAAATCTAAACATGCAAAAATTTCCAATATGTTTTTTTTTTAATTCCTAAATGTAAATAAAAAAAACTTATAATCACATATAATTAAACAAATAAAAAATTATTGTGTAAATAAATAGAAAAAAATTATTAATAATAAATAAAAACAAAATTGAAAAAATTTAGAAATAAATGCAAATTAATGTATTTAATATTGCAATTCAAGTTATAAATTTATTTATTAAAATTAATTTGTAATAAAAATTGATAATCACATAGAATTTATTGAATAAAAAAAATATATAAGAATACATATATTAAAAATATTATATAAAATACATTTTATATGTATGTATGCGAGAAAGAGAGAGAGAGAATCATACTAATCTCTTCAAAAAATTAAACATATTTAATATAATTAAAAAATAATTGTTATTTTAAAAAAACTAAATAAGCAATAAAAATAATGGAGAAAGAGTATTAATTAAAATATAAACTTCAAAATTATTTAAAAAACTATTAATATATTAAAAATGAGACCAAATATTATAATACATGTAGACCAGGTCACCCAAAAACTTATATTTAACTAAAAACCATAAAAAATTTATTAAATTATTTCATGACCTCCAAAAACGCAACAAACCACCTTAAAATTTAAAATCAACTCAAAATAAAAAATTCTTTATTTAACCTCAAATTTATTTTCTAGATATTTTTAAGGTAGAAAAAAATTAAATTAAACTCTTCTCATAATATAAAACAATTTACACCATCGTCAACAAAATCTTTTTTTTATATACTAGAATCCATAGAATCCAACAACATCCGGTCTCTCATCCAAAAATAAAATAACTAAAAAATAAAGAAAATAAAACTTAATATCCAAATTAAATTTTCTAAAATTAAAAACCAATCACCTAATAGCTAAAAACATTCAAGACTTAAATTAACTTTTCAAAAGTACCTATTTTACTTGCTTCTTTTTTTTTAATACTCTATCTTTCAATTGAACTCTTCCTTCCAAAAGAATATGCAAGTGGCTGCTAAATTGAGCTCAAAATAGCCCAATTACACAAAATAAAAAGTTTGAAAATGAAATGAATTTTTTTAAAAAAATTTCACTATTCCAATCTAGAGGATAAACCGTGAAAAAAGCTTCACTTTTTTCCCTACCTTCTTTAATTTTTGTTAATAATTAATATATCACCTTCAAGTTTGGAAGAGCATCTCCATGAGCTTCTGTATAACCACCAAGATAACGCGGTCTTATTCTTCATTTTAAAACACTGGAAACAAAAACTATGTCCCCAAAAGGAACATCATAAAAAAACTGTTTTTGGGGTCCCAAAGCAGAACTAAAATCCGCCATCAGTATTTTCAAAGATGACCACAGATTGCCTTTGTAAAGTCAGTTGTCGATGAAGAACCACCAAGGTCTGCAGTCCGATACTTTCCCTCGGCAATTGTGTTAAGAATGGCATCCTGGATCCTCTCCGCTTTGTCATAGAGCTCTAAATGGCGTAACATTGTGACAGCACTTAACAGTAGAGCAGTGGGATTTGCCAAATTCTATGCACATTCAACCGCATAAGAGGTTAATATAGACAGATGAAAAAAGACACCATTAGAGAGAAATTTAGGAAGACCAGCTATTCAAGTTGAAAGCAGGACAACATAAAAATGAATAGGCATCCATGCACATTGCATGGTTGCATATTGAGAAACTCTGGATAGAACAAAGAAAACACGTAAATTAGCTGTGAATGCTAACCTTGCCAGCAATATCTGGTGCAGAACCATGCACAGCTTCAGCAAGGGCAATTCCCGCTTCACCAATATTGCAGCTGCAGAAGAAATCAAATGCTGTCAGAAAAACTGAATTGAACTATTGTGCACGAATGAAGATCTTTAAATACCTTGGTGTTAAGCCCAAACCACCAACCAACCCCGCACAAAGGTCACTGATAATGTCACCATAGAGGTTAGGCATCACCAGTACATCAAAAAGAGCTGGATTCTTCACAAGCTGAGCATGAGAAACAAAAATCAGAAATGACACTTCCATTTCTCCAACAGAAGATTATCCTAGACAACAGTGATGGTGTAAGAAGAGAGACCCCCATGTTAACAGCTCTGGACATCACGTGGGTGAGTGAAACAGAAAATTTCAAAGTTTAAACACCCCCAAACTCCCACTTATTCATTCACAGAAATTAATTTATAAAAATTAAAGAAAGAAATTTACGATACCATCATACAGCAGTTGTCAATAACAACTTCTTCATATGTGATTTCAGGGTACTTCTCTGCAACCTCACGACAGCACTGCAGGTAATTAAATCAACTTAACACGGAGATACTTGGTAAATAATAATGTAATATCTGATGTAAGAAGCAGCTAAAACAAGATTACCTTGAGAAAAAGACCATCAGTTTTCTGCATAATATTAGCTTTGTGTATAGCTGATACTCTCTCTCGTCCGTGGGTCTTTGCATAGTGAAAAGCGTATTCAGCAACTCTCAAACTTGCCTGACGAGTAATGATTTTGAGACTTTCAACTACACCTCTCACCACCTAGCACCAACATTAAATGAACCAATCCATTAACTTTATACACCCTGTATACTCGTTAATGCACATCTGAAAACTCTCGAAAGAAACTTACTTGGTGTTCAAGTCCGCTGTATTCTCCTTCCGTATTCTCACGAATAGTGATAAGATTAACATTATCATACCGAGTTTTATAACCAGGGAGGCTGTAGCAAGGCCTAACGTTGGCATACAAATTAAGCTCTTTCCTAAGAGTAAGGTTCAAGGAACGATGGCCTTTTCCAACCGGTGTGGCCATTGGCCCTTTTAAGCCAACCTTGTTTCTTCGTACAGATTCCAGACTTTCCCATGTCAGAAAACTCTGGGTTCTTGGATCTATTTGATCCCCAACATAGTGCTCTTCCCACTCAATTGGCACCTCAGCTGCTTGAAACACCTGCGATGGTAGAAATGAAGATAAATAGCCATAGCTATACAATAAATAAACAGAAAAATTATACGCAGAAACATGAACATTTATCTCGAATTTTATATCTGAACCCTTATTTATTATCTACTAAAAATATCGAAGAAGAAACTAAAGATTTGGTCATTAACCCTTTATTCAGATCAATACAAAACCCTTTCTTTTCTCCATAAACACAAACAAGACTAAGACACCGAATTCCGAAAACGGTGATGAAAATAATACATTAAAACATTTTGCGCAAAAGAGGTGACTGCAGTCTGCTACTACAGCGAATTATTTAACAGAGAATTCGGGTGCCATTATCGTTAACCAAACACATAAAATGCAAACATTACTTGAGCAAAACAAGAATACTATGAGATAGAGAGAGGGAGATAAATAGAGTTCAATCGGACCTGTTTGACGGACTCGGCGATCTCGGGGCCGATACCGTCACCGGGAAAGAGAGTGGCTATGATGGGAGCCGGAGCAGATGAGAAAGCCCTAGCCGTTGAGGAGATCTGGGTGGAGCCGCTTGCACCAAGAACGCGCCTCAACACCTGCACAAGAGCCATTGATTGACTGATTGATTCTGTTTGCGTTGCTCTTCCTTTCTTTCTTTTGTTATTACTAACAAAAATATAAAATAAAATGAAAGGCCAAAGGGAATATTATTATAATATAACGCCGCAGACTTTTCATTTTTTTTAATACTGTTAAAGTCGAGGGTGTGACTTTGATTTGCTGTTCAGTTGAAGTTATTGTTTGTGTATATTGTTTTTATGTGCCGCAGCTGTGGATTTATAGAGTGTTTGGTGACACTTGGTTTTTAAAAAATATTAATTTGTTTAGTTTAAATTATTTTATTATTTTTTAATTTCTTTAATATATTAGTGTTAAAAATAAAATAAAAATTATTATTTAGATAAATTTTTAAATAAAATATAACACTACAACATAAAATTATTCCTTTATGATACTTTGCCATAATTATTTTCTATGTAAAATATTTCATGTGAAACAAATTTTACCGTGTTTAATAATTACTAATATGAAAAAATATGATAGAATTAAAGTAATAATGATATATTATAATTATAAGGCAGTGTTGTGACGATGACACGTCCAAAAATAGTGAAGCTGCGGGGTTTAGTGATACGGTGAAGGTGTAATTAAACTGTAATCGGTAATATAATAGTTTGTGGTTGAGATTTTTTTATAAAAATTAGTTTTGGTTAAAGTTAGTTTGGTATTTATATATGTTTATTTAAAATTATGATTTGAATTAAATTTAAATAAAAAATAATTTAATATATTTAATTATTTTTTAAATTGATGTTATACATAACTAATATATATATATATATAGTTTTTAATTTAAATATTATAAATTTAATTACTGCTGTTACATTATGAAATAAATAATATTTATATAAAATATTTTTATTTTTCATTAAACTATCTATATTTTTATTATGTATAAAATTCATTCAACAAGAACTATAGTTTTCTTGATTTTTTAAGCGCAATAACATCATATAAAATATTATTATGAACAAAATTGAAATTGTGATTAAATTCTACAAATGCTACATTATAAAGTGATTTTTTTCTAATTTTTTAAATAAAATATAATTAAAAACAAAAATAAAAATTTATTTTTTAACTAAGTTGGACCAAATTCAATATATTTAACTTTGAATCGCACCGATCTGACTGAACAATGAAGAGTTAAACTCTTCACTATCTGTAAGATGCAGAAAAGTAACTCTCAGCTGCTTTTTGTAAACTTATAATTAAAATAAATTTTATACAAGTCTGGTATCTATAATAAAATGAGGTTTAACATTATCAAACGAATAATTTGTACAATTTATTTTAAAAATAAAAGCTCCTACGAGTATTAATAGTGATTTAATAGTGATGACAATGAGAATACTAACTATAATTTAAGAAAATAATTAGAAAATATTGTTAATTGATTATTATTTATTAAGTAATTCTATAAGTCAAAAATATTAATTAATAAAAAAAATTAAGTTTTTAAGTTGATTAAAATATATTTTAAGTTATCCAGATTCTAAAAAAATAAAAAATATTTTCTTATTTAATATTTTACGCAAGGTATCCAAATATCGCTCGTGCATGTTTTATTAATAAAGCATAATTTCAATCATTTTCGCTGTTGGAGTAATTTGTAGATTAACTTAATATATTTATATTTGATACATATTATTGATATTCATAATTTCCATATTTAAAAATAATAAAATAAGTGTGATTAAATATATAAAAAAATAAATTTTTAATAATTTATCCATGATTTGTTATTTCGTCTACCCTTCCAGGTGTGGTATATAATTATTATTTTTACGTTGGGCTTGATACACTACAAGTGAAGGCCTAAAATATAAGCCAGGCCCGCCTCACGTTTTGCCTTTTCCGTTTCCTTTTTCCTTTTTTCCTTCTTCCTTCTTCCTTCTTCCTTTTTCTTTCTTTCTTTCTATTTTCTTCTTCTTTTTTATTTATTATTATTTGATTTGATCTCTGCAGATTTTTGAAAATATTTATCTCCCTTCAAGTCTATTTTAAATAGAAAATATTATATATTTTTACTTTTTCCTTAAAACACATAATGAAACTAAATGTTTTTCTAACAATATTTAATTATTTTTAATTTTATTTTCACGTATACTTTAAAGTTACATAAATTTTTTTGTAACATTTTCAAAATTATCATAATATATAAATATTTAACTCACCATTTCTTATTTCTCACTTCATCCCTTAAATTTAGAATATTATATTATTTATTTTAATAATTAAAGTTTTTTTTTAAATCTTAGTTGTGAAAGATAATCTCATATAATATTTATAATTCACCATTAAACTTATAATTTTATTTTAAAATATATCCTAGTAATTCAAAATGTCTTGAATCAAATGCATGAATAATTAAAGTTTAGGTCACGATTAAAATGAAAACATACACAGGATGCAAACTTAAAAAGAATACTTGGTAATTTATTGAGTATAGATATCTCTGTCTCCGTGAAACCATCATTTTTCTATTTAATATTTATTAATAAAATAATTTTTTAAATAATTTTTTTATATTAAAATAATTTAAATTTAAAAATATTTTTCCTAGCTTAACTCTTGATTGAATTCCTTTTAGTTTTGTCACCTTAACTAACAAGGAGAGGAACTCATGAAGATTGTTGATAGTAAAACGTCAGGTCTTAGAGAGAATGATTTTAAAGCTCTATTTATTTGTTAAAGAGTAGTTTATTTTTAAAAAATAAATTATTTTTTGATATTTAATAGTATAATAGAAAATAAATTGAAAAATATTTTCTAGTGTTTGGTTATTTTTTTATCTTACAAATTAAAAAGTTGAATAAGAATGAAATTGAAAATAATATAATTTCATATATTATCTCAAATAAAATAAATAATAATCAAAATAATAAAAATCAAATCTAAAAAAAAAAGATGAAGAAATTAAAATAATAATAATTATCATGTCATAAATTATTTCAAGTAAAACAAGTAACAATAAAAAAAATGAGAAACAAATTTGATATATAAAAAATATCAATTAAAAAATGATAAAGTAAAAGAAAATAATAATTATAAAAATAAGAACCAAAATTAATATAAAAATTAAATTCAAAGCGATGAAATTGAAAAATAAATACTCAAAACAAAAAATACATAACAATCTAAAGTTTGAGGACCAAATTTGATTTAATCAGCAAATTATATGATATTTTTAAAATTCTCACAACTTTCATAAAGTGTTTTCCGCCCAAAATAAAAGAAAAATACTTTTTCGGAAACCAAGCTAAATTTTTCTTTGACTTAAAAGTATTTTTTGTAACCATCTAGGTGGTGGCCAAGTGGTAAAGATTTGGGATCAAGGTGGTGGCTCCCTCTGTGGTCTCAGGTTCGAGTCCTTGGTTGCTCATATGATGGCCACTGGAGGCTTACATGGTCGTTAACTTCAGGGCCCGTGGGATTAGTCATGGTGCGCGCAAGCTGGCCCGGACACCCACGTTAATCTAAAAAAAAAAAGAATTTTTTGTTGACCAACTTTTCTAATAACAAACAAATAAATAAAAAACTTAAAAAATAGGTTCTCGTAAACCACTTTTTGACAAACAAATACACTTTAAAATGACGAGACTACTAGAGAAGATTTTTGCCATTCTATCACATATTTTAATGATATTTGATGAGAGTTATAATTGTTATTTGGCAATAACAAAACAAATGACCTCTAATGTTAAGAATTTTCTAGTTTTTTTTTTTAGTTTTGGTTTTAATACTATAGTTCCTAACATTTATTTTTGGTAAACTTTTATAACATGCATTTATTCCAAAAAATGTTGGATGGTCGAGAAGAACATGATTACCAGCATATATAATTAAAAAAAAAGATTATATAAAGCTTGCAACAAAATGCGCATCCATGTCCTCTTATATTATCCTCTGTTTGCTATGAACATATATGGTTTGCTTAACATGGTTGTCATATTAAGTTTAGCCAAAAACATAAATACAAACAAAAAATAATTTTAATACTTTTAAAACTTTATAAATCCCTTTACATAATATAAAGTTACAGGTTTAAATGAAAATTATTTAAATATCAGTTTTATTTTTGTTTTTAGAGTTTAATTAAATAAAAAATCATTTAATTTTTAACCTTTAATAATAATTCACATGAATTACTAAATAAAAAATCTCTTAAACTATTTTGTAAAAGAAGGATTGAGAGTTATGTCTTAAGGGCTACCTCTTTTAATTATTTTATTCTATACATTCTAGCCCTCTTTTAATTATTTTATTCTATACATTCTATATTATAGAGAAAAATATGTGGCATAATTTAAAAGAAAAATCTAATAATCCTATGAATTGTAAAATATCACTTAGTTACCTAAAGAATATCATATATTTTCTTTCAAAGCAATTATTAAAACTTTATACAATCAAGTCTATGCTTGATTTTTCTAAGTCTAGATTATAATCTCATGTATTAATTACACTTTAATTCTTAATTTCTAAAATTTATTTACAATTAACTTAGATTTGATTAGTCCTCATATTTTAATTTCTTACCAATAATTTTTAATGTATGTGATCTACTAAAGTTTTAATATATTGATCTAAATATAAATTATAATCATAATCAAAATATAATTAAATAAATTAAATAATTTAACTTATTATCAATTTAATAAATTAATTTATTTATATTTAAAGATCAAATATATTGTCTAGCAATGTGTCAAGATTCCTTAAATATTAAAAAAATCATATGTAGTTTGACTTGAATTTTTAGTTACCAAATTCTCAATATAATCATTTTTTTTTATCAAGAATTGACTGATATCAACATTTCAGCATTAAAGATGTTTACTTTATTAAATCATGTTTTCTATCAATACTACAATCATTGATTATATAAATAAAACTTGAAACTCTTTTCAAATCTCATTTCACATTGTACAAGAATTTATCAATCAATACTATTTAAAAATATATAAAATAATATTTTTAATTTGTTTAGGATGATAAATCCTCACTTGACTACTCAAATATCTTTAATTAGTTTATGTCATACCAAATATTTATCAATTTGTAACC